GGAAAGAGGTACTGAAAAGAAAAATAAATAAATAAATAAAAATAAAGCACAGAAGTGTTGTTCTCGAGGAAGAAGTCTCCTGAAGTGAAAGCTGGTGTAAGTTCAGCAGTCAAAAGAGAAAGAACAAGCCCAAAAAACAGCGAAGCCCAACCCAACAGGCTGCGAGACAAAGTCCCAGGCAGGGAACAGCCCTGCAGCTGGGCAGTGAGGATGGCACGTCTCCCGGACGAGGAGCTCGCGGAGCAAAAAGTAGCAGGAGCTCCGGCACTGAGGACAAACAGCCCTTGGCAAAGCAATGCTCCAACAACAGCACGACCGAGTTGGTGCCACACAAGCCGCGGCGCCTGCCCGAGACCCACCAAAAGGAGAGGAACCGCCATCCGCCAGGGAAAGTTCCCACAGGCAGCCCTCGGCGCCATGCTGCCGATGTTTCTGTGGTTGATTCACCAGGAGGGCTGGGAGCGCCCGTCAGGCAAATTTACCCTTTTAAAGGGGAAAGAAAAAAAAAAAAAAAGAAAGGCTTCCTTTCTCTTTGCTGAGGAAATTAAAAATAAATAAGCATTCAGACCCGAGCTTGTGTTTTCCGAGCTGGATCAAAACTGCATTAAGTCACGGGCAGAATGAGAGACATTCCCTCTTACCAAGAAAACCAAACAAGTGGAGGAAGGGAAAGCCTCACTTTGGCCCCAAGGAGGAGGAAAAAAAGCACAAATAGGGGACTTACGCTGAGAAACCTGAGGGCCTGAGTGGGTTCTGGGAACAGGATTTTCCTAAAGCCTCTGCTTCCCGCCTGCCCCAACCTCCTGCTCCTCCTGGTGGTTATTCCTTGCATCCTGTTTCAACCTAAACCCAGCTTTCCCAGCCTGAGCTTTTTCCCCACCCAAGGCCACCGAGCAGCAGTTTCATTCAGCGCTGCTCTGCCAGGGCCAACTGGGATGCTCGGAGGGGGAGGCAGCTGGAGGGGAGACGAAAATAACGCTGGCACAGGAGACAGGATGAAGGCTAAAAGCCAGAGAGCAGGGCAGGAGAAGGTGACAGACGTGTGCCACCAGGAACTCACATCAGCCCAAATTAGCAGTAGGGACCACTCACCAGCACCTGAAGCTACCTGCCTGCTGGAGCTAATGCAAGCCACCGCCCCGGAGCAGAGGGACTCGCAGCTCATGATCTCACCAACCAGCTCCCTCCCAAAAACCTCTCTGGAGATGCCCCGGCCAGCCTGGCACCCTGCCAGGTCACTGGGAGCTCAAATCCCTGGCATTTTGTTTCTTCCAGACCACTGCAGCAGGGAAAACGTGGGCTAGAGGAGTTTGCTTGGTTTACGTGAGCCGAGACCGTGGGTACGTCACCCTCTAGATACTGCCCACCAAAGGCTGCGACGACTCTATCGGCGGGTGAAGAAGGAAAATAAAACCCAAATCATATTATTCCCTTAGTTTGAGTTGCCTTCGGTCAGAAGCCAAGTGCGAGGCTAACTTGAAATACCAATAGTATTAGCTGTTCACAGATCAGGTCGTATGAGCCGGTGCAAGTTTGACCTAACAAGCACCTTGCACGAGCAGCGAGATGCTCAGCTGTGTTACCCGTTGCCCACCAACAGGTTAGGAAGCATGTAGGTAAACTAGCTAAAATTAGGTACAGCCGCGTGTGGCTGTTTAGCCCTCACTCCAGGGGAACTGCTGTCACCTGAGCCACCCTGAGGTCCCAGCCGGCAGCAGCCTGGGTGGGAATGAAACCTCTTTACTCTGCTCCCCCATGTCTGAATTTCTTCTAAACTACACCCAGGGCTTCTTGCAACCTTCCCAGAAAAACAGGCTGGAGAAGAACCCAGCAAAAGCAGCAAGTGGTAGCTGAGCCTTGTCGAAAGGGATTTTTAATCTAATCTGATAGTGAATAGCAGCATATTAATAAAAAAAGAGGCTGGAAACACTAGCAAAGCAGTAAAGAGCATGAGTTCACCAGCAGCGATTAGAGGCTAAAATAAGAGCATATACCCAGGTGCGGGTTCCTTGCAGGGCCCGCGTGATTTCCCCTGACCCGGGGCAAATCATCCCTTACCTCTAACCCCGCACCGACATTCCCCTTTTGGTGGGGAAGAAGTATTATTTAGAGAGAAAAAAATCAGGATGAAACAACTCAGGCTTCTTGCAGCAGCTTGGACCAGATGAAGCCACTGAAAATCCTTGGCGGAAAAGGACGGCTGCTCAGCCAAACAGCATCCAAGGAGCGTGCAACTTCCCCTCCTCATATTTCTAGAGGAATATTTGGGATTTTTAACCCGTGGCATATCGTTTCCTTTACCTGCGAAGCAAGGACATACGAATATTCCCTCTGTCCTGTCCGTGTAGGTGTCAATCTTCTGGCCTGGGCAAACTCTCCACACAAAGCGCTGGGCAAAAAATGGTGCTTTACTTCTGGTTGGGGTCTCCCAGCACTGCCTTAACAGACACCACTTCCTTGCCCACCACCAGAAGGAGCAGAGGCACTTTAAGCACAACCTATAAAAGAAAAGAAAAAAAGAAAAAAAATAGTTATTTTTCTCACTGCCTAGGGTGCTGCATGTTTTGCACCCAAGTTAAAACTATTTTTTTTTCCCATTCTTCCCTGCAGAAGTCGACACCAGCTACTGGGCTTACCCCAGGAGACGTGTCAGAGCTAAACACGACGGTGGTATTAAGCTAACCCAGAGAGGTCTCAAGAGAGTCATTATAATTAGGGCTGCAAATTTGTGGCTGTCAGGAGCAGGCAAGACCAGCAAATGTGCTCAAATTGAGGTGTGATTTGCTCCAACACCGGACCCTCCCCAGCAAAGTTTTGCTGGCCAGCAGCAGAGGGCTCATCCCAAAAAAGCCCGGTGAGACGAGCTGTCACTTCAGAAAGATTTTAGAGTAAATGGGGAATTTTCAAGAGATTACAAGAGCTACTGTGTGCATTCAACCGTCTCCAAAATACAAAGCAGAGACAAATATCCATCAAGACCAGCCCCTCTGATTTCATCACCTGCACTGCTGACTATGCATTTGGTAAAGCTTAGGTTTGGAGGACAACTATTTCAGGTGAAAATTTTTGATTTTCAAAAAACAAGGAGGGGGCTAGCTCAGAGAAAAATATTGCAAATAAGATCTGTGCACGCTGTGCAGCCTCCAAGTCAGAAACGCAAATCCAAAAGCTAGCTTGGGGTTCTCCAAGCATCTTGCAACCTTCAAGACAGTGAAGTGATTTCTTGGCAGGGCCCCGGTTGGTAACACCCAAGACTTCGGGGCTGACGCAACGGTACAGTTACTGATCTGTTGGTCCATAAGCACAGCCCCTAGTGGAATGTGTTCATGGCAGTGCAGCACCCCTGCTCCCACCCTTCGAGGTCCATCCGCCCCCAGAGGGGTCCAGCAGAGTCGGCAGCATCTGGAGGTATCAAACCTGCAAAGGCTGCAGAAACAATCTCCGCACAAAGGCCCTGGAGTATCTATCCCGGAAAATGTGGTCTTGATATGTAAAAGCAGCCCAGGGTGGCTTTTTCAGACCCCCTATCACCAAGGATGGCGAGCATCCTACTGAATCCCATCAAGCCCTGGGGCCAGCTGCCTCCTGCAAGCTCAGGAAAGGGAAGATGAGGAGGAGAATCCAGCTATTACCAGGGCAAAACGTCTTCTGCCGACCAGCAGAACCAGCCCTATAACTTACACTATAAAAGAGTGGGTTTTATATCCCAGGACAGGACATGGGCGCATGTGCACCCTCACGCTCACTCTCTTGTTCTCTCTCTTCCTTGTGCATCTCCTGAACAAGTCAAGAGCAGCTCTGAAAGACTCTTCGGACAGAAGAAAAAACGCAAAAATAACCCCTCTGTGCCCTGGCCCCTCACGCTAACCCAAGTGCCACCAGCCCCCTCTGTGCCACGCGGGGCTGGACATCACAGGGCTGCCGTGTCACTGCCAGTGCCATCGGCTGATCACATCCACTTACTCACACGCACACGAGGAACAAAAAAGAAAAAAAAAGAAAAAACAGCCACCATCGTGGGGGCAGACTGTGCCTCTTGGACTCCTTTCCATTTGTCAGGAGGATTCTTGGCTGCAGAGAGCAAGCTGTGAAGGGAACGGCCAGCCCCATCACCGCTGAAGGCTTCACGGCAGCATGATTGCATGAAGGGGCTGGTTGTCTCACACGTCTCCGCAATGGCCTAATGCGCCCCGCGTGCCTCACCAACTGGGACTCACCCATCCTGGTACCTCCACGGCCAACCTTGCTGGCTGGTTGCTGCCTGGACGGGGGCAATTCCCAAGTGCTGGGAGGGCAACAGAAGTGGTGCTGCTCAGCAGCATGGGGGCCAGGCCAACCCAGAGTGGGGCCAGGCCAACCCAGAAGCAATCCCTGCACCAGCCCCGGGACCTGTAGAGGCTCCTGGGGTGCTGCAGGCAGGTAGGGTGCACAGCCTGTGCACAGTGCCTGCTGCAGTTGGCATCTCTTGGGCATGCTGTGCTACCACCAGGTCCAGCCTCCAGCCTAGGCCTCTGCACAAGCCCTTTCACAAGCTGGTCACAGTCCATCTCCCAGTTCTTTCCTATGACCCTCACAGAGGAAGCTGCCCCAGAAACTCTTCTGCTCTGCGGCCGAACCCTACCAGGCTTTGGCGGTGCCACGCAGGCTCCCAGGACTGCACAGCCAGCCAGCATGGCTGTGACACTCCTTGCATCCTCTCCCAGATGGCACCTGCCAGGCAGGAGGCCTTCTGCATTTCAGCCCGTTCCCCAATATACATCTTCTTTCCCCAATCTCACCCTCAGCTCTCGAGTTTCATCTCATTTGCCTCATCTCTTTGAGAAAACATACCTTTTCCCCCACCTCAAGTGAAGGCAAAGCCACAGAGATTTTTAGCTGCTCCCATCTCCACATCACAGGAGACCTCTCCTAGGACAGGGCTCTTAGGATGAAGGAGGCCCTTGCTCTTTGCTCCAATGGTCTGCACCTCCCCAGCTCTGCCTGCAGCCTCCCACCAGTCTCCCCAGCCCTGCCAGCTCGGCACAGCGGGGTGGGACCAGAGACAGCAGCCAAAAGCCCTTCCCCAGGCTGGACTGAGCAAATCAAGGCAGCCACAGCCGGTTCACTCCACCCCTGTGGTGCCAGTCCCC